CCATTTGCCAGCAGGTTTCCGGTCAGCTTCCGCCAATGAGATCAGAGAAGCGGACCACCGGGACCCCTGGCGGCAGGCAGGTCCAACCCCAGCCTTTCCTGATTCCCCGAACCCTCGCAGAGGGTTCACCTCTCTCGCACACCCAGCAGCCCTTCAATAGTTTTGTGAGCAGAATCTCTTTAATAAGAGATTTATTTCCTACTTGAAACATTGTGGGGGGAACGTATTCTTGACTGAATAACAACTGGACAAGGAGGTTTCTAAAGTTTTTGCTGAGGGCACAGTTTGCCGGTGGGGCGGGGCCAGAGCGTACACCTGGGTGGCAGCAGAGTGGAAGCTGGTAGGGCAGCTTCCTCCCCAATTTATCTCCTCCCCGACTTGGCCACCTTGGATGGGCCTTACCTCTGGGGTGAGACTGGTTTTCCCCACTCGTTTCCCGCCCCCCCCCCCCCCCACCCTGCCCACCCACATCGCTGCCCTTACAGCAATGGTAAATACAAAGTGCCAGCCGCAGTGTCCTGAGCACCTTGCAGGTATTAACTCATTAACGTGTTCGCTCCTCACAGCACCCCAGTTTGGACAGTACTGTTGTCATCCTCTTTTACACACAAGTAAACTGAGACCCAGGCTATTAACTTGTTTGCTAGTAACCCTCTTACATGGCTAGAAAGGGGCGACTCTGAGATTCAGACCCAGCCTGGCTCCAGAGGCTGTGCTCCTATTCATGCCCCTGTCCTCTTGTCCAGGCACCTGCACCAGCAGCTCGAGCTGCAGATGAGACCTCAGGGGCTGGAGGAGGGAAAATGGAGAGACAGCGATGAGTCGATGCTCATTACCTGCCTGAGAATCCACCAATGTCTTTTCTCCAGCTTTTTCTCATCCTCATCGCTTCCACTCGCCCACGAGCCTGGCAGACCTCGAGCGCGTGGCCCCCTTCCGGTGTGTGTGGGGGAGGGACTTCTCTTTCCTCTCTCTGCAGTGGATGCAGAACCAGGCATGGGGTCCGTGGGAAAGAAAACAGCTCAGACCTCAGCTCTGCTTAACTGCCCTTGGGGCCTGGGGCAGCCCTGTCCCTCTGTGGGCCTCAGTTGCCAACTGTAAACCAAGATGGCGGGCTGGAGAACCATTAGGGGCTCCTCTAGCACTCACGTCCTAGAATCCTGCTTTAAGGCCATGTGAAAACCAAGAGCTTTGATCAGGCCAGAGGAGTGGACCACACACTTCAGCAAACCAGGCTGGGTGAGGTGTGCCGGGCCCCTGCCGCATGCCGAGGCCCCTGCGCGTGGGGGCACTCGCTGGCCGTGGGATGGGTTTGCCTCCAGAACAGACAGCCCACAGAGGGCCCCTCGGGCTGCAGAGGCTCCAGTCTTGCCAAATGACCCAGGGCCGCCCCTCTGCTGAGCAGTTTCTCATAGGAAGCCGGGCTGGTTGTCCCCCTTCGATAAGCTGACAGGAGTCACTGATGTTATGCTGGACGCGGGGTGCAGAGGGTGAATCAGACACAGGCCCTGGCCTGTTGGAGCCCCCGGGCTAGTGAAGGCAGATTTCTGTCAACCTTTCTGTCCTCCTTCCACGCCCAGCTGGGACACTCCCCTCGTGCAGGAGACCCCCTAGCTTCCGTAACCCTGACTCCCAACACCTCCCCTGCTGGGCTGCACGCCTAACCCTCACCCAGGAACTTTCCAGGGCACCGTAACTCACAACCCCTGGACTCTGAAGGGACCAAGCCAGACCGTGGCAGACCCACCCCACACAGGGGCTGGGCAGGCACAGTCAGAATTGTTGCTTGGCCACATGACCTTGCATGTGACACAATTCACATCTGTCCCGGCCCGAAGGAATGGCACCAACCTGATCCAGCATCCAGGCACTGGGCACTCAGCTACGGTCACCCTGTGCTGGGCTCAGAGGCTCCTAAGCGAGATCACTGTGATGTCCAAATGTTTCAAGTGACCCGCAGAGAGGCAGGACCACCCCGGGAGAACACAAGCTTTGAATCCCAGGCTCCGTGGGCTTCAGTTTCATCTTCTCTGAAAGGGGCTAACGGTACGAGCTTGCAGTCACTGTCGGCAGCTCAAACAAGCTCACATGTACAGGCGCCACTGGGCCTGAGACGTGGTCTGCTCCCTCCCCGCCCCACTGCGGCTGCCCCCAGAGGAAGCCTTCCTCCTCTGAGGGGCACTGAAGCTCACTCTGGGCCCCCCTCCCGCCCTGTACCCCACACGCTGGGCGGTGCCTACTGGAACAAGACAGGGCCCTGGCGTGAGGAGACACACCCTGCTGAGTCCTAAATTGGGCATGTCCAGAGCAGCAGCCCCAAAGGGTAGCCACCTGGGAAGGGGTGGGAAGGATCTGTTCTAACCAGTCGATGAAGACAGCCCTTGCCTCAGGTAGCTACCTGGCTGAGGGCCGGGGGACACCCACCAGCCAGCACCTCCTGTCCGTGCAGTGGTGGAGGCTGCCCGTTGCTGGGCTGCTGGCAGGGCAGTGCAGTGCCTGGGCAGCTCAGCGTGGACTTGCCCTTCACAGGGTGGGTGGTGCCACGGAAATAAACACATTCTGGAGTCAGACAGACTGGGGTTCGGATCCCAGGTCCACTCCTTACGGGCCGTGAGACTGGTCCCTTCACTTATCCTCCCTGACCTTCAGCTGCCCCATCTCGAGCGTGAGACGCCGCTTACCCACTTGCAGCATGGCTGTCAGGATTAACACCACTGACCTCAGGTGTAAGGAACCAAACAGGGCTGGTGTGTATGAGGGGGCACCCCTCCAAAAAACCAGAACTTATTATTAAAAATGGTGTATTTATTCTTACATGTGTAGTCACCTTCAAAGTCCTCTCCATTTGATGCAAGACACCTACTAAGATGTTTTTCCACTGCTCAAGTTTTTGAACTCATTGATTTTGATGCCTTTTACTGCTTCTGCCATTTTTTCTTTTTTCATTAGCCATCAGCAAAATGTTTCCCTTTGAGGACTTTTTTCATCCAGGGAAACCAACCAAAAAAAAAAAAGGCACTCAGGGAAAGACCAGGGAAACAAAGTCACTTGGGGTAAGACCAGTGAGTAGGGAGGGTGGAGCATGGGGGGTCATGCCGTTTTTTGGTCAAAAACTGCTGATCGCTCAGCGCAGTGCGGACAGGTGTGCTCATAAACCACCTATTATGAAGTGGGCACACGCTGAGTCTTCAAAAAAATTTCACTGAAGCTGTATGCAGCTTCTCACAAAAACTCCAGCTGGTGCACTGATACAGATGGGTTCCTAGACCACTCACCCAGTGGGGAAAGCCTGTACTGCAAGGCGCCTGCCCTCCAGAAGTTAATTCCGGTTTTTGGTGGAGGGGTGTCCCCCCTCATAGTAAGCACTGGAAAAAGGCTTGCTTCCTAATAAATAAACAGGCTGCCTGTAGTGACTCCTTACATAGGGGGTAGCCAAAGGAAGCAGGCAGGCCAGACCCCAAGCCACCACCGAGTGCTAGGAATCCACCCAGATTCCCTGAGTTTGTCGTAAGTCTTCGGAGAGATTTAACTGAGATTTTATCTCCTCCTGGGAGAGAGGACCCCAATGTCCACCAGCAAAACTGATAGTCCCATCTAATCTGAAAGGCAACTTTGTTCCTTCTGGCTTTTCCGTTATGCATGAAAGAGCAGAGAGCAGGTACTCAGGATTCATAATTTAAGACACTCAGGGACTAAAGACATTGGCCAAATTTAAACCGAAAGATGAACTTGTTGGGTGTCTTTTCCGATTACGGGGGAAGAAGAGAGGAGATAATTTCTTAGTCAGCTAGGATCCACTCAAAATTCATAGCGGGTCCGCCCAGCAGCTGACAGCGCAGGGCTCTGCCTCTGGGCTCTGAACATTTTGAATAGCCCTGTTGGAAAGGGACAAACCAGAGAAATGTCGGAGGAGACCCCCACTGAGGCCTGAGAGCGGACCTTCTGCATGGGCGCTGTGCAGCTTGCCGGGAGGCCACGGGCACCAGGACCGCGGGCACGGCTCCTAGAGGCCAGCACAGAGCGGTCACACACTTCCGAATCTGGGCCGTGGCTCTGCTAAGTGCTGGAAGCGTGCGTGCCGTCCTCCCTAGGCCTTGGTGCCCACGGCTGTAAGAGGGGCTCATACCACCTGGGCTCAGCGGGACTGCAGGGGTGAGATGACACCGAGAGTTCGGCACAGCCCGCGGCACAAGAGCCTGGTTAACATGTACTTCCTTAAACACCTTTGGTCCAAATTCCTTTTCCTCCGAGATGACGTCTGAATAAGTCCTCTAGGTATACCACCAATATGACAACGGTCACCTCTGAGTTTCACAAAGCCCAGGGAGGTAGGAAGGGTGGAGATTATACCCTTTTCCCAAATGGGGAAACTGAAGCTCCTGAAAAGCAGTGACTGATCCCGTGTCAAGCCCCCAAGGGGCAGAGCCAGAGCTAGACTTTGGCTCTCCCGAGGCACTAAAACACACTTTCCACCATCCCCCATCCCAGTCCCGAGTCACACCCAAGCCACACATCCTGAGTCCCTCTGGACCCTGTCTGGATGACCACCCCCAGCACTGAACCCCAGGCCACGGTTGTGTTTGGCAGTTTGTCAAACGAATAAATTTTGGGGACTCATTTGAGAATGTGACAGAAATGGACACTCTCCCCAAGAAAAATGGGGAGACCCACACACAGACCCACAATGGTATGCCCACCCTGAGGGTTCACAGGCCCTGGGGAGGAAGCGCAGACTCCGGGCTTCAGATACCTCTTCAGTGCCGGCCTTGCCGAGCTGTCCAGAGATGCCCTCACTGCACCCCCCACCTGCAGGTGAAGAGAGGGTCCTGCTGGGCCCCCGTTCAAGGACCACAGACCACATTTCCCACTTCTGGGCCTGTGGCCGCTGTTGTTCCAACCACCAAAGGGCAGGGGCTGCTGGGCGCCCTGCTTCCACACGGCCACCAGGACATCCACCCAAGCGCTTTCTGTTTCAAAAAAGAATGTTTATTACTTGTTGGGTTTTTTTTTTCCACTAGAAATTCCTTTACAACACAAAGCAAACAAAGCACAAGACTTATCTGTAGACCTATAGGGAGCACACACTGACTGCTGGTGGCCAGAGACCACAATGAAGGCCACCGTCCATCTCACACAAGTGCGGCCCGGCCCTTTCTGGGGCTCCCGGGCCCCGGTGCCAAGGACGGCGTGTGGTCAGGACCCACCCTTGCTGCCTGCTGACAAATACAAGGGCTGACACCAAGGTCTGGGAAGGGCAGCAGGAGTCTGGGAGCTGGGCAAGGAAAGGAAGGTAAGCCTACATTCTGACAGACCCCATAAATCCCACCCACCCTTCACCCAGGCACTTCTGTCTTTGTGTTTTGGTTCAAGAGCTTAGACAAGCAGGTTCTAAGGAACGGTGCGTGTTACTCCTGGGCTGGCGAAACCTGCTCCGACTATAAGTAGTAACTCACTTAAGGTCGGCAAAGCCAGGCCCGGGAAGCACCTCTGAATGGAGACAATGCTGGCTGCTTGGCTGGGTTTCAGGATGTGGGGAGCCCTGGGGAGATGAAAAGGAAGGCAGGAAGGAAGACCCTGAAAACAGACTGCTGCCTGTGTGTCCCGACCCAGGGTCAGAGTGTCAGGATGCTTGGAGTTTGGTTTTGTTTAACTCTCTGAATGAACAGACTTCAAACACTTCCATTTTCACGGAAATCAACAGCAACCAGACAGCGAGCAGAGCACAGAGGCTCATGCCAGCTCTGGGGGAAGGCACCAGATGGTTTGTTATGAAACACATTTTGGTCAGAAAATAGCTGGGGTTTTTGGTTTCCGAGAGGACAACAAAGCTAGAAAAAAGGAGGTGTGAACTGTGTGAGGTGCAGGTGAGAAGGCAGCTTTGGCACCAGGTCTGGCTTCTGCCCTAGACTTTACCCCTTCCACGCTGGTGGCCTCGGTTCTCTCATCTATAGAAAGGCAACAAAATACTCTTGCCCAAATCTGGGTGCGAGGCTTCACACGTTCCCCCAGGAAGCAGGGGAGGCGGGGCTCGGGGACACACACACACAGACGCGCAGACACACGGAAGGGCGAGCACAGCTCACCAGCATGGGGAAGAAGGGTGTGGCGGGGCACCCCGATGGAGGGCAGTCACGTACAGGTGATCACCGCCGTTGCAGCTCGGCTCTGGGGGTCCGTGGGCAGCCAGTCACACCGGTCAGAACACTGACAGGACCACCCACCGGGACTTTGGGCCCTTTCTCGTGGAAGGGCAGCGAGGAAGCTCTTTTCGTGCAGCACCATGGAGCAGCCCCCAGGAGCCACACCTACTGTGCGTGCTTTAAAGTGCCAGTGGTGTGCCATCTTTGGTCAGGGACTGCCCGCTGCCTCTGAGAGCCCTGGGGGCCAGGGGCTCAAGCCCAGGCCTGCTGGGCCCCTGCAGCAGACGAGCTGGAGGCTGCAGGCCTCTCCTGGGGCTGCGGTGCCCCCTGCGCTCAAAAGGCAACGGGAATGAGTGCTCCGATCACCTTCAATGAGGAGCAGGGCCACCTGCAGGGAGACCTGGGCTCTTGGAGAAAAGGGGCAAGAAATGCTTTGGTCACTGTCCGGACACCCACAGCAGGGCAGAGCTTGCTCAAGTGAAGGCAGGAAGCTGGTTATAACGCAGTGCTTCTGCCTGACACAAAACCAGCTTCCGAGCTGAACCTGAAGTCACCGAATAAATATTCAAGGCATCCTGCAGTTCTTAGAGAAAGAGCGGGGTGAAAAAAAAGTTTCCCCTTCCCTTTGCTTGACTGGCTGCAGCTTTGATCTGCAGGCTGACAGAGCTGCCCACCAGAAAGGGTGGCCAGGGGTCCTAGGGCTGCCGCACCCCAACCACGGGTGGCTCTGGTCACGTGTCCTGCCAGCGCTGGGTGCTCAGAAGCTGAAGAGGTCCTCCTGTTCAGCGCCGCTGCTGTCAGGCTTGTCCCAGTCGACAGGCGAGAGGCACTGGGCGTAATGGATGTCCTGTGCTGTCAGTCCAGTGTCCAGGACCTGGGGGTTCGTCCGAGACTGGGCGAGCCTGGAAGGCAGAGGTGTGTCAGCTGAGGCCCAGGCAGGGGGCTGGTGGGGGCCTGCAGAGCCGGTCCAGCCCAGCCAGCACCAGGGTCAGGAGTGAGAGGGTTCGGGTGGGAAAATGCAGGGCACGGGGGCCAAAGAAGAAAGTCCCAGATATCAGGAGAGGTGGAGTCTACCCATGTGCTCAGAAAACGGTGGGGCAGGCAGCGGCATTCTGCCAGAGAGAGAGGCGAGGGCACCCGCACTGTCCCCAGCCCCACCAGGAACTGCTCAGGAAAGGGAAAGGGCCACACCGGCAGTGAGAGGGCCTCACGGAGGCGGCGGAGGGCACAACCATGATTGGACGGACTATCGGCTCTAACTATGTTCAGCACAGTGCTGTTAAAAAATGAACTTAAAAAGGGAGACAACCTAAGGGGAGAACAGGAAAGTTAGGTAAACTATGGCCCGTGTCCTTAAAAGTATGTAAGGCAGTTCATGAAAGAGGCATTTTTAATGGCCTGGAGACATGCTCCTGATATGTCAGTGGTAAGTGAAAATCAGGATCCCCAGGAGCAAATATGATGAGCTGATCAATGCAAAAAAATGTATGTGTACAGGACTGGCATGCATGAAGCCCCAAAGTCAGGGCTGTAGGGATTATGGGATGGTATTACTTCCTGTTCAATGCTTTGCTGATTTTCAAAGTTGTTAATAAAAGGCACACGATACTCGGGTAATCTAGAAAAAGCAAATCAAAGATTTTCTTCAAATGAGGGGATGGTCATCAGCCAGTGAAGCAGGGAAACAGCCAAAAGACCGTCTTTGCCTCCATGAAGGAGCCGCTCGTGCCGCTGCCCCCTGCCCCGCCCCCGCCAGGGCCAGGGGCTTCCACCAGGCTCTAGCAGGAAGAGACTGGGGAGGAGGGAGAGGGAGGCAGGGGGCTGCTGTGTGTCCCAAAGGGGAAAGGAAGGCCTAACTTGGAACCCCGGGCTGCCCAGGCTTCTCCTCGGCCCTCTCCGTGGCCTTTCCCAAGCTAAAGGTGGCCGTGGCCACAGGGGCGGCCCCTGGGAGAAGATGGGAAAACGCCAATACCTCTCGCTGGATGAAAATACCTCCTTGCTGTGCCTGACATTCCTCCTCTACGCAGTGCTTCATGGGCATAAGCAAGCACTGCCTTCCCCCTGCCCCTCTCCATTAATGTAAAACCTCTGGAGGAAACAAAGCCAGCAAAAAAGCTAAGTTTTGAAGGTTATACCAGGTCTAGGAAGAGAAAATCAGCCTGAGCTACAGGAGTGTGTTTAGCTCAGCTCAGATGATAGTAAAGCAGCCGCTAGGAACAGTCTCTGACTTAATAGCAAGGGTTTTGTAGCAGACCTGGCCAATCCCAGATAGCGCACTCCCCGCCCCTGGTGGTTTTCACGTTGAGATTTTTACTCTGGAGAAGGTCAGAGTTCATGTTCTCAGACATGGCAAAGGGCCCCAGAGACTAGTCCACAAAAGCCAGGCCTCCTGCCCCAGCCGAAGGAGCCCAGGTAACGTTACCTTGAAAATGCTTCGTCCAGGTCGTCATCCAGCTCCTTGGGGAAAACAAAGTAGAAGATATGAACCTTGGGTGGGGGAGCTCGTGCTTATAACTGGGGCCTGTCCCAGCTCTGGGCAAGCTACAGGGACTCCCAACGGAAGCCGTTGGAGCCTGGTGGGTGTCTGGAGGAACAGGCACAGGCAGGCCTCCCGCCTGGCCATGGCCACCAACCCGCATCTCAGCCCATGGGCCCAAACCTGGAACGTGGAACAGGAGAGAGGGCACCTGGGTGCCTAGACAGCTGGATGGGTTCAATTCCCAGCTCCGTCACTACTTGACTGACCCCTTAGGCAAGTCACGACTCCTCGCTGAGGCTCAGCTTTTCCTCCCATAAAATGAGGAGGTTGAACTGAATGACTGCTAGGGCTTTCCAGTTCTCAGAGGAAGAAGGCGGGAAGGTTTACTTGCTTTCATTCACTTCCAAAAGCCCAGCCCAAATTCCAAGCTCAAGGCGTAACTGCCTAGGTGGGAAAACAATGGGCGAAGCCCCTTCACAGTCCCTCTGAGAGCATGTGCAGGTGCCAGGGGTATTCCAGGCAGCACGGAGCAGGCTCAGAGCGCCTGCTCAGCAGACACTTGGTGGCCCCCAACAGGCAGCAAGATTTGACAGTTTTTCATGTCCCTCAACATGCCAGATTTTTTAAATTGAAGAGATATGACAAGCAATGCGTGATTCTGTAATGTACCCTGGACCAGAAAAAAGACATTGTGGGGACAAGTGGAGAAATGTGAATAAGGCCGGCAGATTACATAATAATGTCGTATCTGTGTTAATGCAATGACTTTGATCATTGTAATGTGGTACATAAGATGGTGAGATTTGGGTAATATGGAGGAAGGATGAACAAATATTCTTTGTACTGTTTCTGTAACATTTTTTATGTCTGAAATTATTTCCAAATAAAAAAGATTTTTAATTTCAATTTAAAAAACAAGGTTCCTTTGGGAGAGTCTGCAGACAGAGATCAGCGTCCTCACCGAAGGGGTGAAAAAGCTGAGACACACAGAGGTCAGGGGCCTGCCCTGAGTCACGGAGCAAGTCAGGGGCCCGCTGCCCACGGCCATCTCTCAGGCTCCTCATTCAGAGGGCTGAGGGGGAGGAGTGTCAGGAGCAAACTCTGCCCACCCGGGGAACAAGGGCGCCTTTGGCTTGTCCCCTGGTAGGCTGAGCTGTGGATGCTGAGCCCAAGAGGCCGGGCATTGTAAGGAGACAGCTGTGCTGGGAGCCAAGCCTATTGGGGACGCAGCCCTGGGTTCAAAGGGGACATTGTTCACCCCCTGCCCTGGGCCTGGGTGCTGCTGGGCTGGGTCTGGCCCTCTCAGACGCCTGTAGGTCATGGTGCCAGGCCCTGGACCGCCCTAGGCTTCATCCAGGGATCAGGCTGAGGCTCACTGGATCCCTGCGGGGTCGCCAGGTCACAAGAACACTCACCCAGACAACGCTGCTGTTGTTCAAGGCTGGAGGCCTCGGTGCCTCGTCCACATTGGTGGTATTGGCGCTGACTGTGGAGAGCGGGGCCTTCTCTTCCAAGTCCAGCAGGTTCCCAGTGGCGACCACTATGAGGGGTCCCGTCAGATGCGTCAGCAGGAGAGGAGCCTCCTGTCTCCCGGTCTCATCTCTAGTCCGTCCTGGAGCCTCCTGGGCTGCCGTGGTCAGACTCCCTCCTTGGGCAGGGCCTTTCCCAGGCCTGTCGCCCAGAGCCCCACCTTGGCCCCTCCCAAAGCAGCTGGACACCTGCCCACAACAGGACACCCTCCCCCCAACTAATGGTTTAGGCTGCAACCTGTATATTCACAACAGGTGTTAGGTTTTTAAAGAAATCCCTCAATCCGATATAAAATATATAAAGACATATATACACATATATTCATATTTTTGCATAGGGACATATCTGGACGAACATGCACCATAATGAGTAACTTTTTTCCTTTATTTACATATTCTAACTTACCTATATTGACCATGTGTTATTTATTTAACAAACTAATAAAATCAAGAGCCTGCTCCAGCCCAGGAGGGAGTGAGGCCACTGGACGAAGGGCAGACCCCATGTCATGCAGCTGATTCCAGCTCCCCCACCAAGACTCACGGTTCTTCAACGAGGGGCTGCTATCGCAGCGGCCCCCGCCCAGGACGTCCCCTCCCTCTTGGCTGGCTTTCTCCCTCTTCTCCTTCTCTGTGGGAGCAAGGCATAGCGCTGTAGGGCCTCTGAGCCCAGCACCCTGTCCCCGGCAACTGCCGGGCAGGGAGCAGGCTGTGGCCAACCTCAGGGGGCAAGTTTAGGTCTCCAGCAGGAAGGAAAGAAACTGCAGATTTCAGTTACTCCCCACAAGCACCTCTGGGGGAGAGACAGGGAGGCTGAGGCTCAGAGAGGTGAAGGAACCTGTCCAAAGTCACGAAGCAGGTAGGTGACAAAGGGGAGAGTCAGCCCAGGCCTTTACCATCCCTCCGCACCCCACACTACTCTGCCAGCCTTCTTCAACGCTCCCTCTACACCCTCACCCGCCCTTGAGGTCTGTGAACAAGACTCACCTTCCTTGGACACCTGCCAAAACTCAAAAGCAACTTTGAAGGCCTGGGCTACTGTGAGGGTGACAGCCTGGGCCTGAAAAACAGGAAGTGGGGTCAGGGGAGGGGTGCAGTATTAGGCGGGTAACAACACGTCTGAACCGGAGGCTGGCCAGGCCCACCCTGGCTCCGTTCCAAGGCTCTGGAATGCCTGATGGATGGAGGCAGAGTCCTGGCCCCTCCCAGGTCACAAAGCAGCTGAGGTTATAATGAGGCTACGCGCTCCCCAGACAGTTGGGGCCCCATCTTCACCACCTGTGGCCCAGCCAAGGTTCCCACCCTCATTCCAGCCCCTACCTTGGCAATGGCTTTTTTCCCTTTGGGCTTTCCTAAATTCAATTAATTGTGAGGCTTACTTCCTCTGAGAAGCCCTCCCTAATTACTTGAGGGCTTCACACAGTTACTTAACCCCTAGAGTTAAAGAATAGAAAAGCCAGACTTGGAAACGTTCCGACCACCCTCTGAATGAACCACGACCACCCTCTGAATGAGCCACGGCAGCAGAGGCAAAGGTCAGGCTGGTGAATACTATAAAGGGTCAGAAGGCTAATAACTGAATCCCAGAAAAGCAGTTGGAAGCTTATACATTTCCTGGCAAAAGCAAGATGTGAAGAAGTGCCCACGGCAGGGGACCTAATCCATTCAGCGCCATAACCCACCTGCAAGGAGGGGCTACGCCTTGGCCTTTCACCCCTAGGGAACTCCCATCCACTCTTCAAACCCAACTCAAATGTCACCCCCTCCTTCATAGCACCAGCTCACATGCCTGCGTCCCCAATCCAGGTGCTCTGTAAAGGCAAGAATCACCCTGATTTCCTGAGCATTCCAGAGGCCTAACAAGCCAGCTGCATTGCATTAGCCCAGGAGGCAGGTATCCTGAGGCCTCGCACTCCGTCCAGGACCTACCCCCATCCCACATTCAGTTCAACTCCTTCCTCTCTGATTCTAGTTAATCAGCTCAACTTCTGGGAGTGGAAGTCCCAGAGCTCACAGCTATAGATGGAAGCGACATCTAGCTTCCTTCTGGAAGCCCGGCAGCGGGAAGAAAGCACGAGACTCTTTCAAGTGTACAAGTTCAGGCTTAACCAGCCTCTGCCCCACCCCCTTTCTCTCTGCCAGACAACTTAATTTAATTGAGAAATGAATCTGTGGCTACTGCCTTTAAAACTCTTTCTTTATATTTAAAATCCCTAAACGAGCGGTCTGATCTATGCCAATTAAACTTCACGAAGTATAAAATCTCACTTGAATGTCTCCGTCATTTACATTTTTGATGGAAGTACAGGCACTTTATGGCAAAACTTAAATATGGTAATTAAGTATGAAACTCTTCACAGCTGTTTACAATTTAAGCTGTCACGTCTGAATCAAGTTTAATAGACCCAGTTACCATTGAGAATTGCCCATGAACTAAAAATATGGACTAATTATAAGCCCAAGTCAGACCACTATACACCCAAGCAAGGGCTGGTCACCCAGTGTGGCAGGGAGATGGAAATACCGTTATTTTTGCCTCCAGAAAATCTGTGGGCACAAGCCTAATAGTGCTTTTGCATAAAGCTGCTTGTTCATTTGCATACATTCCTATCCTTTCACCCTGAATTCCCGAGCTGCAAGTTAAACCAAATATAGCCCAAGATTCAAAGGTGTACAGGTGGCTGCAAGCCCAGGCTGGGCAGGGACTGGGAGGGGTTTGGGCCCTGCTTTCTGGGGCAGCTGCAGGAATTTGGGCAGCATCAGAAGAAAGGACCACAGGTAGCGGGGAGAGGAGAGAGGGGAAGGGGGGCGTGTCTTCCTTGATTCTACAGGACAGATGCCTATTCCTCTGAGTGCCTCTGGCCTATGGGTCTATCTTATTGCCCTGACCAGGTTCTACTTTGCCCAGTTTTTCATGTCCCAATCTTGCTCCCTGTAACCAGGCTGTTAGCTCCTCAGTGGGGCCAGGTCTAGTTTAGGGCTGCAGAGCTAGGCTAGGACCCCGGGATCCCAGATTCTAGCCGGGTAATCAGACCAAGTCCCTTACAACCCTGCTGCCCCAGAAGCATAAATCTTTGCACAGAAGGATTACCTGAGAAATGCCAATGGCCACGTGAAGGAGAAGGGCTCTACCCCACTCTGCCCAGTGCAGGATTAAGGGTATCAGTTTGCTCCCCAACAGCGCACCTGCACTGCAACCCTGGGCTCCCTGTCCACGACAGGAACTCCCCCTTCACTTCAGAGCCTAGAGGCTGAAGTGCTTGCCGACGCTTCCCAGTTGGGAAGATGGGAATGTTGTTTTGTAGAGACTTATCTTGGCCATGCCCAACAGGGGCCACAGGGGAAGGAGGCCTGGGGGTTGTACTGCCTGAGTTGAGCTGAACTGGTGGGAAACCCAGAAAGGAGCCCCTTGCCCCCTCCCCTGGACGGGCCATAGGCATCTTGCTCATTCAGACATCCAGGCAAGAAAGGGTGGGGATGTAGAGACTATGGGCTCTGGGCCAAAAGGAATGAGGACTAGGTCAACATCCAGGTTCAAGGCTCCCCTGCAGGATGCCTCTACCTTGCCATCCTGCCAGGCTCCAGTGACATGAGTCCTCAACTACTATTCACTTGACTTATTTCTGCACCTTTGTGTCTTTGAACTTGCTCATTCCTGTGCCGGACGCTCGCGTTCTCACCACTCTCGTCCTCTTGCCTGACAAACTCCTACCTATACGCATCCTTCAAAGCCCAACTCAAACATCTCCTTTTCTGGGAAGTCTTGCTGACTTCCAGCAAGCCTTCAAAATCTCCAACTAGAGCCAGGGCCCCTGATTCCAGGTACTGAATCCAGCCTCTTCTCCCCCACCTCCGTGTTCATTTCTCCATGCCCGATGCCCTGGGTCCCCAGTGTCCAATGCAGGGCTTAGCCCAGGAGAGACAGCAGCAAACATCTGTGGGGGTACCTGCCAGCAAGTGGGTTGCAAACCCTGAGGCATCCATTTCACCTGCTGCCTCCTCCTCAGAAACGTCCACTAAACCCCGAGAATCTCAGGATTTCCACCCTGGCCAGGCCACCAGGCCATCGACACACTGCTAGCTTGGGCTGTGGCCTTAGGGACCACATCCTTGCACCAGATGGTCCTAGTCACACCACCCAGGGCTGGGCTAGCTCCTCAGGGGCTTCCCCAGGGCTCCCTGAAGGGGGAGGGCAGAGAAGAAGGACAAGCCGTGATCCAGCCAGTCATCCCTGACGCAGATGAGAACCTGCTAAGAAGGGTGAGCATTTGGGCCTCAATGTCCAGCATGGGCCCCTCTCTCTGCCTGATCAAGACTCTGCTGTCAGCATGAAGCAATGGCTGGCTGTTTACCTCAGTCACTGACCTCTTGGCCTGGGGCAGGCTGATTTTGATTGGACCCTGTCTAAAGTCCTCTGGACCTGGACCAGGCCTCCCTTCACCACTGGACCAGCATCCACTTTCTTATACCCCGCAATCTCCCTTTCCCAGAGGAAGCCTCTGCAACTTGGGAGCACCCCCACGCCCCGTCCCCAGCTCCCTGCTCTGCAGCAGTAACTGTGGCCAGCTGCCCTGCCCAGTGCCTGCTCTGGTCAGTGGGGAGGAAAAGACAAACAATGGGCACATAATGAGCCTATATTTTTAAATCAGTGTGGCCTCATAAGAAACAAAGCCAGGAGTCACTATCATGGGAGAAGTCACCACAACTCAGGGACAAGGGGCATCAACGAGGCACCGGATAAGTAACCGGTGACACTGTGTCTGCAGAAAAAAGGTGCACAAAAGAAACTGCGGTCTTTCAGAACAATCTTGGAGGTCACTGAGGTGACCTCCTCATTCTGTTGATGGGCAAGCAGCCCAGAGAAAGGCAAGGTCTTATCCACGGTCACACGGTAAGTACCTCGGCGAGGATCAGGCCCCCTATCTGCCTCCTCCTGTAGTGAGACCTGTACCAGGCTGAACTGTGCCCCCAAAGGTGTCCACATCCTAATCCATGGAACCTGTGAACGTTACCTCATGTGGCAAAAGGGACTTTGCAGATGTGATTACGTTAAGGATTTTGAGAGGAGGGATTATCCTGGATTACCCAGTGGGCCCAATCACAAAGTGTCTTATGAGAGGGAAGCAGGAGGGTCCAAGTCAGAAATCGCAATGTGATGAGGGAAACGGAGAGAGATTGGCAGATGCTACACTGCTGACTCTGAGGCTAGAGAAGGGGCCATGAACCAGAGTGACTGCAGTGGCCTCCAAAACTGAAAAAGCAAGGAAATGTTATCTCCCCCGGAACTTTCAGAAGGAAACAACCCTGCCAACCCATTTCAGACTTCTGACCTCCAAAACCATACTGAGAATAAATCTGTGTTCTTTTAAACACTAAGTGTGGGGCCTCAGCTGGTGTGGCTCATTTGGTTGGAGTCTCATCCCATAGACCAAAAGGTCACAGGTTCGATTCCCAGTCAGGGCACATACAAGGCAACCATTGGATGTTTCTCTCACATGGATGTTTCTCTCTCTCCCTCCTTTTCTCCCTCCCTTCCTATCTCTCTGAAAGCAATAAAAAAATGTCCTCAGGTGAAGATAAAAAAATAAAATAAAACAAACACTTAGCTTGTGGCAGTTTCTTACAGCAGCAGTAGGAAACACACCTCAAGCATGCCTGATGGGCACAGCAGGAAGCCTGGGGGTCTGTTTAAAGACTGCGATGTCCTTGGTGACAGGAGGAGGGGTGAGGAGGATCCTGTCTCCTGGACTCCAAAGACCACAGGGCACGGGGACTGGTGTTCTGGGCTCCGTGCACAGAGGTTAACAGAGGCCAATACTAAAATCAATAAATGTCCGGAACCTCTTTCCAGGGCAAATGTTCAGACTTCAGGGGCCTCAGAAACAAAGATTTCCAACACAAAGATTGACTCATTCTGGTCGCCTGCCCCAAAGTTCAAGACAAACGCCCACAGACCACCGAGACTCTTGCTGGTCCCAGCTAGACACGTCCAGGGGGTGGCCTGGATATGGGGCCAGGAACCCCTGGCTCCTTACAGTCATGCTGGGAGGGGAAAACATGGGTTTAAACCCGCACTTTGCCCGGCTACTTGTCATCTTCAGCAAGACAGCTGACCTCTACAGGTCTGTTTTCTCATTAAAAATAAAAATAAAAACAATGAAGACAGTAACTGCTTCCACCACAGCGCTGTTGTGGGCCTTAGATAAGATACCTGAAAGTCTACCACTGAAGCAAGCACATAATAGATACCAAAAAAGTGGTCAGTCCCCTCCCCACTCTGGCCACAGGAAGGACGGTCCTCCCAGGGCTCTCGCTTTTGCTCTTCAGCCTGGGCCCCTCTGATCACCAGTCTCCAAGGACTAATCCCTACAAGGCCCTGCACCTCCAGACCACACTATTACTAGGAGACCCCCTCAGATCTCAAACCCAACAAATCATGCTACAGAGAGGAAGGGGCCCAGGGCACTCACTGGGGACATGGGCTTGTCACTGCTCACAGCCCACTCTGACAGGGGTCTTGGTGCCCTCGGCTCTCACCGCCCTCTTCGGTTTCCCAGGGATTTCATACTTTAAGTGGTGTGTCACCTTGGTCTCGCCTCCCCACCAGACAGGGCCCCCAGGGACAGGCTGCCAAGGCTGGCAGGGCCTGCCCAAGCCCCGGCCCCCGCCCCCGCTGACCACTTTCCGCTTGGTGCAGAGGAAGGCGTGGCACTCCAGGTTCTCACTGTGCTGGCTCTGGGCGATGTAGGCAAACACTTTGCCATGCATCTTGTCCGCTGTGCAGTAGGAGATCCTGAAAGGCAAGTGGGAAATGTCACCAGGTCCCTGCACAGGGGTCTGAGAACGTCCAGGACACCCCACAGGACACCCCCCTGAGTTCCAGAGAGCCTGTTCTCCCACTTCACCAGTGCGAGGCTCCTGAGAGACAGCCTCGACCTCAGGGCCTGGCATCCTGGGCTACCTATGGTGGAAGGAGGGGCGGGATAGGGGGCAGGTGACGACCCAGGCTAGGCGGGAAGGAGTGGGGGAAAGACTGGAGGAGGGGCACTATCCCCGCTCTATTGGGCCACACCCCAAAATTGTAATAGCCAAGCCCTTACTGTATACTAGGCAATATTCAGATGGCACCTCATTTATCTCCCAGAGCTGTCCTCTGAGATGGGTTCTATTAAGATTTCCACTTTTCAGATGAGAAACTGAAGCTAGCAGTCTTAGACCCTCCAGCTAGTGGCGGAGCTGAGACCCGGCCTCACCTGCTGCTTCCAGAGGCCGTAACCCGTGCCCTGTTCCTCTTAAGGGTTTGTGCTGACCGGCTGGAGGGGAAGCGGGACACTGCCCACCCACTGAGGCCCTCTACCTGGCCTCCCCGTCCCCGACCTGCCCTCCGATCACGCCCCTGACCAGAGGTCAGGAGGGTTCCAAGCCTGTCCTCCCCAGGGTGACTGAGACTAGCAGGGTCTCCTGGAGCTTGGACAGAGTGGAAGAGCGGGGAGTAGGGGAGGACGTGTGGAGATGACCAGATCAGGAGCCCCACTGGGGCCAGGAGCTCCCCGCTCTTGGAACACTCGCCTCCCTTGTCTGGCCCCTCCATGCCGGCTCCAGTCATCCTAAGAACCTCGATCAGCAGAGGAACTGGCAGCCCAGAATGGGGCAGGAGTTCGTTCAGCAGACTCCCTCACCCAGTGGCTCCAGCTTCAACCACAGGCACTGACATAGGCGCTAGCACCACTTAAGACTCCCAAGGTGGGCGACTACCCCTTCTCCAGCCAGCCTGCCACCTCCTCGGAGGGGCCTTCCCAGGTTTTCCCCAGGCTGGACCCTCCTTCTCTTCCCTCTTGGGAAACACTCATCCCCTATCTCCTATTTCCTCCCCTCCATTCCCTCCTAGATTGGAAACTCCCTGAGGGCAAGGCGAGGCCTGATACCTCACCCAGGTATCAAGGGCAGACAGAATTAAGGTGAAAAATACCAGCCAGAAACTCTAAAACCATCCCCCATCCTACCCCAGTACTGGCTTGTGCTCCAGCCAGCTAAGCCACCTGCTTAGGGACAAAGCAATATTGTGGCCAGACGCTTGGCAGTCCAGGACCGGCTGGCGAGAACTCTGGCGTTGGTGTCCCAGTCCCAGCTTAGTACTACCTCACTGTGAGGCCTTGAGCAATTCCCTCTCTGGACCTCAGATTCTCCATTTGTAATGAATCCCTGCGGTCCCCTCCAGCGCTAAAATCCTACAGCAGACCAGCCAAGAGAGGATGGTGAGAGCCTGAGGCTCCAAGGGCTGGGACTGACCTTCTCATGAACAGGGATTCCCTCTCCCCAACTGATACCACCTACACTCTGGCCTCAGACTCTGCCTTCAGATATCACCTCATTTAATTCAGCAGCTTCCTGGGCACCTGGCCAGACGTGCAGCGCAGAGAGGCTGCATTCACAGCAGAAGGAAAGGACCGTGACTCTACAGCTCTCTGCTCCAAGCCTGACTCAGCAGCAGGCTCAGGTGGGCGGGGGGGCCACGGTTCCCAGTCCTGATCACACCTCAGCTGCCCACTGCAACTAGTGATCAGGACAGCAGCAACTGCCATTTAACAAAGCGCGCACTGTGAGCCGGGTGCTGTGCACCCACGTTTCAAAACGGCACTGTGGGGCAGGATCTGTTTCCACCCCGATTTACAAATGAGGAAACTCATTTACAAATAAGGCTCCAAGGTCATTCAGACAGGGAGTGATAGAGTCTGGCTTCAGACATGACACTCCACCTACCGCCCCAAGGGGCAGAGTGAATGTGGGCGACACAGCATACCTGTAAATGGACACATTCTCAATGAGCTGGTTGGTGATGCCGTCGGTGAGGATAATCCCCCGTGGAGACACCTTGAGAGTCACCTTCTGCAGCTTCTTCCCGCTGGCCTTGGCCTTGGGGCAGACATGGGTCAAAGGAGCCACCTGCCTGCCTCACAAAGGAGCCCACCCTCATGGCTTCATCTAGCTGCTCCAAGCCCCGGACTCCAGGCCCCTGTGAGGCCTCAGCTTAAGCGACTGAAAGACGTGATTTAGAAGACAATTCAGGCAACACCTTCTTCTAATAAACAAGGGACCACTGCTGCTCGCTAAGCACCAGCTGTCTGCCAAGCACTGGACCTCGAGGCATCCTCACGGGCAGCGGTGCTTCTTCCCAGAGGAAATGGACCCACAGAGGTTAAGGGACTTGCCCAAGGACACACAGCTAGGACGGACCTCAGGCTCTGAGCACTGAGTGAACTATCACAACCCAGCAGGATGAGTCCTGTGGACTCTCTGCTCCACCCACTGACCCCACTAGGGCCTGAGCTGAGGGGTCTGAGACCACCAAGGGAAGTGAATTTATAGGGCCCACATTTACTCAGAGCTGGGCAGGGGAAAGTTTGGGCTCTGTTGTGCCAACCTGCCTCTCAGGCCACAGAAGAAGTGGTCGGGTGACAGTAATCTCCCCCATCCCTTCCCAGCACAAAGCCACCAACTGTTAGGCAGGGGGCCTGAGCTGTGGGAAGGGTGCCTGGGAGAGGCCGTGGCCACAGCTGCTAGAGCGGAGGGCACCGGCCAGGGCTCCCCCTGCAAGCCCAGCTGCCACCCTTTACCAGAATCCCTGAACCAGACGCAAGGGAACTCAAAGGAAGGGACAGGTCAGGCACATCAAACTGGGCTAATAAGCAGGGGACAAGCAGCACCCCAGAAAGAAGTGGGTCCTGGCTCCTGGTTCCCTGCAGCTGGGGCTCACCGTGGCCACGATCCTCTTGACGGCGGATGCAGACATCTCCTCGCCCTTGGGCTGCTCCACCAGTGTCATGCCCAGGTATTTGAGGCTGAAGATCATCCCCTCGAGCAACGTCTCCCGAGTGTCTGTCCAGTTCTCAGGCAGCTCTGGGCAGGAAGAGGACAGGCCCTCAGGCCCTGCTGGGCAGGCCCGCCCCAGCAACAGCTCTCACAGCCGCTCTTTCCCAGAGAATACCCAGCAAGGGGCAGCAGGGTCCCGCCATCTGCCATTATTTTTGTAGTTTATAAAGGGCTAAACTAACATTTTCCAGTATGTACCATGCACTGTGGTACATAAAATATTCTCATGAACCCTCATGAGAACCTACGAGGCAGTACTTTATTAAACCCATTTACGAAGACACTGAGGTTCGGTTAAAATCATATAACCGAGCCCGAAGAACCAGCAAGTACGGGAGCCAAGATCCAAACCCATACTTTCAAGTCCAAAGCCTGAACTCAGCTTCAATGCTAACACTTGCTGAAGGCAAAACATACCATTTTCTTACTGATTCTTCAATGCAATCCTGTAAGGTTGATAATATCCCCACTTCAGAGATTAGGAAACCGAGGCTCACAGAGGCAAAGTCATCAGACAAGGGCACCATATAATAAACAAAGGGAGCCCAGGCGTAACTCAGGTATGTACCCTCTCCTTAAAGAAACCAAGAACCACCACCGTCATCAGGATGAAACACAGCCACCAAGTAATGGATGACAATAACCACAAAGCAACAGCCCTTACCATTACCCCAAGTACTTACGGCTATCTTGCAAGTAGGCATTTTTGATTTCCATTTCACAGAGAAGAAAACTGAGGCTCAAAGGACCAGTAACATGTCAAATTAGCTGTCTATCTGTCTAAAGCCCCAAACCTAGCCATTAGGCAATATTATCTTCCATGAGGCAAACCAGCTTAATGTTAGCAGAAGGTCAGAGAGAAGTTCCTAGAGCCAGAGGTACTTCTCCCCACAGTTCCCAATTCCTGAGGCTTCTCCTCTGTTGGTAGATACCCAGACCACCACTTTTAACCAGAAATCCATCTAAGCAAGTATGGCAAAGTACATGCTGCCATGCTTGTCTTCTGTGTCCTTGGCAGACATTGCTAATCCATCGCAGCGCTCTCTAGTACCTCTAATTTATAGACTATGGACTGTCTCTCAACACAAGGCTCTAGGGAGGCAATACCAATCGATCAGCAGTGGCCTTGTCCATCTCATTAGCCATCACTGCCCTATGACAAACATCCCCCCCCATCACCACCACTTTCACGTCCCCACTCTCCCATTTCCTCCAGTTCGGCCCTTTCCTGGCCTGTCTCCAAAGCCACTTCCGCTCCCTCCATTCCAAAGGGCCAAAGCTTGCCAAGGTCACGGACGACCTCTTTGCTGTCAAAACATTCCCCAGCCCTCCTTGACCTCTGAGATGCTCGACATTTTTCTGCATTCCTCCTTCCCTGGCCTGACTCCTTCCCTATTGTATGGCCTCCTGGAAGAGGGCCCTACTAGACTGATTGCCACTCATCAGCCTCGGAGACCTTCTGCCCAAACCCCTCCTTTGACAGATGACACTGAAGCCCAGAGAAGAAGGGGTCTTATGCAAGGTCACACAAGTAAAAGGACCCCCAGCTCCCAATCCACTATAGGCGATTCCTACAAGGGCTGTTGGGTAGTTACAGGTTCCCCAGTCTTCTCTTCCACAATATCCCTGGCGCGCGCGCGCACGTGCCCACATACAAAAGACCTCTAACCATGAAGAGCTTCTTCCTCATGATGTAACATTTACTTTTCCACTTTTGTGCCTTCCTTTGCTCAAATAGTTCCCCCTACCATTAATGCCCTTCCCCTCACCTGATAGAAACTGCTCGCACCCAGCCTCCACCAGGAAGCCTCACTGAGGCAGCATGGCCTAGTGGTTAAGAGCAAGGGCCTTAACTCTAGAATCCCAGTTCTGACACTAAGTCGACTTGAGCGAGATCATTATCTTCCTTGAGGCTCAGTTTTCTCATCTATAAAGTGGGTGAAAACAAGTTCCCGACTTAACAGGGCTGTTTTGACTTCTGATGAGATAATGAAGTGTAATGTGCTCAGAAGGCCCCACCCACACTTATGCCTCCTACCGGGCCCCAACCTTCCTGGGCCCCAACCTTCCTGTCAGTGGGTTGCTCCTGCCTCTCTTGAGCATGCATTCCCTTTTCTTCCCCCCACAGTCAAGCAGCTGCTGACCACGTGTCCTCCTCTGGAAGGACGTCCATTCCTGTCTGCCTCCCCCAGAACCTGGCATGGAGAAGGTGCATTCCTGCCCAGCATTGCTGTTCTGGCTGTCCTACCTCTCCCTTGTCCACCTCCCATCCCCTCGCCCTCCCCGGACCGGCAGAGACCCTCCTCCAGGGGAGCCAGCCTCCGCTCCTACACTTCTGGGCATGACTCATCTCTGTGATGAGGTATATGGTCTCTCATGCTCCACACCTTCTCTGAGAAACTGGCACCTAAGAGCACTCCATAGCGACAGAGGCAGGATTCTCTACCATACCCGCCCTGCTTACTGTCCAGCCACCTCACGCAGGCTGGAGGCCACAGGCCCCTTCCCAGGCTGAGCTTCAGGAAGAGCTCCCAGAGGCCCTCAGACAAATACAGGCCTGAGTCCACAGCCTTGTTCCGGTCCCGGTTATTTCTGGCTCTGTGGTGGATAATGACTAGGCTATTTTAACTTTGCAGTTTTACAGACGACCTGCCATCAGAGTTAGCTGGGGACAGACCATATGCCCAGTCTAACTTGAGGCTGCAAACGTGCACTCTATCCTCATTAAGGGCCCCCTTTCCAGGAGTCAGAGCTGGGCAGGGTGTCCCTGTGCCCCTTCTGCTGTCCCAGGTGACCTGGCCTGGCTCGTATCTGGCACATCAGAGTTGCAGCCAAACCCACGGGCCAGGGGGAACCTCCGACCGTGGGCCCTGGCCTCCAGCCTCCCCCAGCCTGGAGGAGAGATGGCCTCAGAGCCCTTAGAGTGACATCTCTCAGAAGAGGACTCAAGCTCTGCTGTGACCTGGAGTATGGCTGCTTCTCTAGGCCATGGTCCCCTTGTTGGACAAATGGGTTCTCAGTTCCTCAGGAACATCATCAGAGAAAAGTCCAGGATGTGAAAAGTGCTAGGCAAATTTCAGAAGCTATTAAGATTATTAAGAGAAAATTTTAAAATGATAATAGTAGCAGCTACCATTTCCTAAGTACCTACTTACACTATAAGAGAAAACTATACTGTCAAGGTTAAAACGACAGGGTCTAGAAATGGGCTGTGGGGTTCACAGTCTCTCCACCTCTCTGGTCCTGTTTCCTCACTTGATGAGATGAACAACTTTATCCAGTCCACGATGCTGTTGTGAGGAAGAAAGGAGGTGGACTTAAAATCATGCCTGGTACACACCACGTCCCACTGAAGTGCAAGCTATTGTGATTCCCAAGGAATTGTGCTCTTTGCCTCCGCCCCTCGCCCCTGCAGCCCATGAGGTCCCTTCTTATGCAAGGCAGAGTGAGACTCCGGGTCCGCAGGAGGGGCAGGCATCCTGCCCTGCAGGACTGCCTGAAAGGAATGTCTGGCTCACCCTCAGCAGCCAGTAGATGACCTGACTCCTTCAAGCCAAATACCCTGCTCTGCCAGACCTGTGAGAAGCAGAATCCCAGCCTCCAGTTTAATGTTCCTTGTACTTGCTGTTCCCTCTGGCTGGAATGCTGTTCCCTGATTCCTCCCTCCTCGTATCATCCATGTTTCCAGTCACCTTCTCTGCAAGGCATTCCCTGACGTCCTGCACGGACGCTATCAGTGCCCATCTTTATCTTCTTGGTGGGTACCGTTTCCACACATGCCACCTGACACACCACTCTCTGCCTGCAGCTCTCTTTGGCTGCTGGAGACACTGATGCCCATGCAGACTGGGACGTTACAGCTCCCATCCCCAGCAGCCCTGCACCCACCCGTGACGGAACTGCCCCTCAAACAGAGAAACCACAGAGCACATTGTACACCTTCTCCCGGAGCTCCTCACAGGATGGCGCTCCAGCCACCCACCCACAGTGGCAAGTGGCTTCACAGTGTTCGCTTTTTGGACTCCCATTCCTACTCGCTTCTCCTAACATTTCCTGGGACCTCTTCCCAAATAAATGATTTGTACTCAGATCTTTGTCTCAGCATCTGCTTCTAGAAGAAGCCAAATAAAGATACCACCCTATGTAAGGAGGCTGTCCTCCATCATTGCTTTATCTTTCTTCATAGAATCACCACTAACTACCCACAACATACTACTCATTTGCACCCTGTTTCCTATTTCCTGTTAGCCTGCCTCCTGCACCAGATGGTAAACACTATCGGAAGAGAGATCACCTCATTCACCAGACTCCGCAGTGCCTCTATCAGTGTCTGATACAGTCAGTGCTCAATAAATATGGTCTGTGTTTGTTTACATCTTTTACTATAAACATGAAAAATAAGTATGAATAGATCCTCTGCCCCCCACCGACCACCATGAACTAGCTTGGCTGAACCTATGCCTCTTATTTCTTTAGCTGTTCTCTCGGAGCTCTCTGACAGGCTGGCCCAACCCAGGACAGAGCCTGAGGGTCATAAGGACCCTCTTGGGAAAAAGGGTACTGAGGGGCCGGGGTGAGTCACTGTTCCAGACAGCTGGAAGAAAGGAAAATCCCTGGCCAGGGTCTAAGATAAAAATTTTATGGTTCCTGAGAAGATGGGGGGGAAGCCACATGTGGGAGAGGGAGAAAACTCCTCCTTCAAAGTCAGGATTCATTGGGAGACGGGTGGCCATGAGGTTCAGTGCAGAGAAGCCTGGGGCTCCAAATCTGCAGTGTGACCTCAGGCAACCTGCCTCCTTTCTCCGGGCTTCAGTTTCTCCACAACTGAAACAATGACCATGCTCATCCCAGCTGAGGACCTTGGGGGCCACCGGCAGGCCAAAGCTGACAGCAGGTATCGAGTCCACCCTTCATTCCACTGGCTTCAGTTTGGCCACAAAACAACCCAGTCCTCAAGCTCTGAGCCCAAGGCCTGCCTGCGACACCACCCCAGGCCAGGCTGCCCCCACATCCCACCCCAGGCACACGCCACAGCTTCCCTCTCCATCTTGTGGCGTCAGCACAAGCGAGGATGGGGTCTGCACCAGCCCCCCGTCCCCCGTGGCCAGAGTCCACGAGGCACAGTGAAAGGACGCCAGGGCCGGGGACTGGAGCACTGCTTCTCAGAGGCTGTGTTGGGAGCTGTGTCAGGGCCAGTGGCTCCACTTCCCTGAGCCCCTGTTGCTGTACCTCTGAAATGGGTCTGATAAGAATCCTTGCTGTCACCTCACAGGGGCAAATGAAATAATAGAAATAAAAACACTGTATAAAATATTAAGTGACAAAAGCAGTAGTTACCACTTATCAAACTCTTTCTCTAAACCAGGCAAAACACAATTTCTTTTAACATCCACCTGAAAACTCTGAGGTGGGGACCACTGTTATTTACCATTTACATATGAAGAAACTGAGACTTAATAATGAGGGACAGGTAGGGATTCGACCCAGCTCATTTCTATCCAGAACGCTCCAGGACAGCACTCTGGGCTTATTGGGGGTCTGCGGGAAAGAGGGGCTCTCCTCTCCCTTCTTCTGCAGGTATGGGCAGGCTCCGAGACCCTCCCCCTGCCCAACTTATTCCACCACAGTTAACAGTCATGTGGAAGGTACACATAACAGGTGGAGGAAGGAGAATGGGGAGGAGGAAACTACCAATTAGATGCCAGAAGGAGACAAGGTTATCAATAGCCTCTTCTACACCCCTGTCAGGTTAGAACTTTTATCTCGCCCTGACCAGGTGGCTCAGTTGGTTAAAGCATCGTGCCGTGCGCCAAAAATTGCAGGTTCAATTTCTGGTCAGGACACATGATCTAGGTTCGATTCCTGGTTGGGGCGAATACAGGATTGATGTTTCATTCTCTCCCGCTTCCTCTCTCCCTAAAAAAATCAATTAACATATCCTCCGATGAGGATTTAAAAAAATATTTTTTATCCCCATTTTACAGATGAAGAAACTGGGGATCAGAAAGGACAAGTAGCTTGTTGAAGCTCAGAGCCCGCTGGAGAAACTCTTTTCTACCATCCAAGATGTCAAGGTCCCCAGATTGGGAAGAGCTTCTAAGTTTCCTTGACTTGCCCAGCCCATCCCTCCCTCATCCCAGGAGAAAATGGCAGGGTTTCCCCAACTGGAACAGATCATTATTCTCAGAAGTCCTGGTCAAATCCCACAAATATTTAAAGGGGTTATTTTGGGAGTCATTAAGTGTGGGAGATGGTACACGCCTGGCCTGGCCCTAAAGGTCTCTGACCCCACCCCCTCACCAGCCTCTGTTCCCAGTGCCAGTCTAGGTTTAGGAGGTGGCCACAGCTGGAACGGGAGTTCAAGAGGAGGGGCAGGGCGGGCTCTCTAGGCCCAGACACGCTGGCACTCCTGGGTAGAGGGAATTCCGGCTCCCCCGGGGCTGAGCTCTGGAACGCAAGTGAAGGGGGTGGGGTGTGACTGTGTCAGTGGTTTCTTGGTGGTTGGCGGGGGCCGGGGGAGACGGGGCGGGGGGGGGACGGGGGGGGGACGACGACGACACGACACACAACGGTTCAGGTGGTTTGCAGGGGGGTGGGAGTGTGTAGGAGTCCAGCTTTGGCTCCACATCTACCAGGAAGGCCTCTGGGCTCCAGGCAAGCCACCCCGTTTGTCCTAGGGAAAAAGCAGTGACTTAGCTTGGGTTTCTCAGGCCTCAGGGGGAAGGTGCCAGGTGACGGGTTCCCTTAGAGTAACTCGAGACGGGGAGAGGAGGGAGGCCGGATGAGGCCCCTCCCAGCCTCCCAGACGCCCTGGGGAGAGGTGGTGTCGAGTCTGTAATTCGCCTGGGCGCCCAGGGACCTTGGAAGCCCGAGGGGGGAGGTGCGAGAGAAAACAGGTTTCAAATATAAACAGGAGGCCAGCCTCCACACCTGGACTCGGCTAGAGGAGGGGACTCAGGGATCTAAATGGCCGGGTGTGTGGTATCGCCTGAGATGTTAGGCTAACCTCGACCCAACTTCAAGTAGGTACCTGCGAACCCAGGCTTATGCCCGAGACCGTTTCTGGGCGCCCGGAAGTCAAAAGATGACCTCCTGGCTTGCACAGGTGGAGGTGGCAAGCGGGCTCCGGCCGGTCGCTGATGCCGCGGCTGGGGCGCAGGGGTGAGGAGATGGGAGCATATTCCCAAGCCCTGCGCCCACTCCCCCTCCCTCGGGCACCGACGCTGCGCTCCTCCTGCCTCCCTGAGCTGTCCAGGGCGGCGAGGTGGGGAGGTGCGGGGGAAGGAGGCGCGCAGATCTCTTCTTCTGACCTGGAAACCCCTTCCCCACTGCTGCCTGCACCGGTCTCTTTCCCCAGGTTCTGTCCTTTCTGGCCAGCTGCACGGAGCGGGCACGCGAGGGGAGCTACAACTTCACCCCGAGCGACCCCTAACCCCGCAGGGAGCGGGTCAGGCCCCGCCTCCCCCACCGGGAGCCCGCCAGAGGCCGATCTGCGCAGCCGGACCCCCACCCGGCCCCGGCGGACGCGCACACACTCACTACGGTGCCGGCCGCCGCCCCCCCAGCTCTGCTTGGCGAGGCTGGGGCTTCGGATCAGCGCCCTCCCTGCGGACTTCAGCGCGTCCATGGCCGCTCCGGCCGCCGCCGCCAAAACTCCGTCAGGGAAAACTTTCCGCCGCGGCCGGGCGGCGTGTGTGCTTCGCGCTCCTCCCCTCCCAGCGCGAGCTCCGCACCGACGTCCGAGAGGGCGGGGCGAGGGCCAGGGCAGGACCCGCCCAGGACCCCGGCCCCGCCCCGCCCAGCGCGGCCGCTGCCTTTGCTCCCCAGGGCCGTCCAGACAAAAGGCGCCTTAGGGTAGGGAGCTGAAAGTCCTAGAAGGCCCCCTCTTTTCCTCCCTCTCCCCACTCCCCTAACTACTCACCCCGCAGGACCCTGAAGGTCTGCCAGCCACCTTCCCCGCCGCGGGGGTACTTGGAAACCGTTTCATAAATGGGGAGACTGAGGTCCGGAGACAAGGGTCACGTTCACGATGAGAAGGATACCCAAGGGAGTGGGAAGCTTAGAAGGGGGGTGGAGGTTGTAGAACTTTTCCGGGAACGGGGCAGGAGTATAAAAGTTCGCCTTAGCAAGACCAGTCGCACTTCAATAGCGCGGTAGCACCCAGGCTGCTCCCGGGTATCAACTGGTCACTCTGGGTTACCCCATGCCCACCCCACTCCCCAAGTAGCCTGGAGGTGATATGGTCTGGGTGTTATACTCTGAGGTATAGGGAAAGAAGCCTTAGTTCTAGCTCTGACTTGCTGTGTGAGCTCAGGAAGTCCTTTCCCTTTCTGAGTCTTAATCTATAAATGAGATGGGATCCTATCTCTAGTGGTCTCTCCCATCTACCAGGGCCAGGTGCTGCGTGACAAAAACCAAAAACCTACCCTGCTTGCTAGGAGGCACTTGGAGTGGAGTCTGGATGCTAGAATTCCTCAAGCACAGATGTTCTAACCCCAGGATTTAGAATTCTCCCTAGAATCCTGTGCCATCCTGCCAAGCCTCACCGAAAGGAATCAAAGGAGAACACATAGACTCTATTCCGGATGCATCTAGATGGGGTGCCTCGGAAAGGCAAACTCCAGCCTCTGGGGTTGCTCCTGGCTGAGGAGGCAGTTCTGTTCCTGTGTCTGGGGAAAGACTGGGCTGTGCTGTCTTCCGCTGGATAGGGGGCCTCGCTCACATTTCCTCTCTCAGTGTATACATTAGGTGCTTTTTTCGGCCATTCTGTCCTTTGCTCCTGCAACAACACTGCAGCCAGCGGTAGACCCACTCCACATTTAAGAGCCTGAGGCCCAGGACAGAAGCACTCACCGAGAGTCTCTGACTCAGAGGCTAGGCTCCAACTCAGACCCAGGCCTAGAGGCCAGAATATAGTGCCATGGGTTTGAGCCCTATTTCCTTTCTTTTGGTGGTTGTGAATTCACCTTTCTGAGCCTCATTTGTAAAAGGGGCAACAACAGCTATTTCCCAGGGCTGTCTGTAAGGATTAAATAATATGAGTTGGAAAGGATGAGTCCTGTCTTTGAGAACTCACCTATAAAGTTGCTTCCTCTAGCAAGCCTTCCCTGACTACCACCCATTGGTTAGGCTTGCGGTGGGCCCCACAGGCCTGAGCTTATGACATTGCGAATGCTGCTGCTATCTGTTTCTACTCTTCTCACCCTGACTACACTTTGTGTCCTTCAATGGCAGTTAAGTTTTTCTGATTCATTTCTGAATCCCAAATTCCTCGCAAGAGGTCCAAATGGAGTTGGAATAGTCAATGTTCCTCTCCTTTTGCCCTTCTTCCTACCCTCCTGTTCCCCAGTTTACACCACAACAAGCCGTCTTCTCCCACAAAGGGCCGTGGTGATAGGTAGGTAAGTGCTCAGGGCTAAGCCCCCCAGCTCTCTTACCCCGAGTCAGACGGGTCCTGAGGCAGTAGAGAAAACATACTGGCGCCTCCTGGAAAAACAATCGCCCAGGGCTGGCTGGTGAAAGGCAGCTGGTGCTGTCCGGCTGGCAGGGGACACCATATGGGCCCAGTGAAACAGGCAGGCCTGGGAACACTGTGCCTGCAATGAAGGCTGTTTTCAGGGCCACTGCACCCTCCCGGAGGTGACTTGCTGCGAGCTGTCAGCCACGCCTCCCTGCAGAGGGGCAGCCTGCTAGTGCCCCTTCTGCCAGTCCCAGAAACAAGCAGAAACAGAAGGTCAGAGCTACGAGGGGCCTCCACTGAGGTCACCATGTCCAAACTTTCATTTCACAGGTGAGATGTGGCCCAGAGAAGGGCAGGGACTTGCCCAAGGTCATACAGCAAGCCAGAACCAGGCACCGAGTCTCCAGCTTCCCAGCTCAAATGCTGCTAAAAAACCAGAGAGGGAGCAGAGAAATCTTAAAAATATACCAGTACTGTAAAAGGAATTTTAAGATGATTTTTTTTCTTATCTGATTTTTGTGAAAATTTCTACAATAATCATCTATCCTTTAAAATCAGAAAGAAAAAAAAGACAATGAAAGGGACAGGGAAGCTAACTAGGAAAGTAACTTTAAGAAAATGGTGTTGAAATTGTAATCTTACTGTTTTTCTCCCCCACTGAGCCTTTAAAGGACCCCAGTGAGACAGTGGGCACCAGGGATCTGGGAGAGCTCTCAGCTCCTTTCCAGCCATCACTTGGTCTTGCGGTGGGGACGAAGATAGAGCCTGGGCTGGGATTGGGAGCCCTGCTTTCCTCAAGTGATGTATCCTCCCTACTGCCCTGTGAACTAGTCAGTCCCTTCATCTGGCTAGGCCTCAGTTATTCCATCTATAAAATGGGAGTTTTTAATAGCAGAGTATGTAGTCTTGCCCCCACTAGCAGAGCATAATAATTAAACACACGGATTCTAGAGCCTGGGATCCCATCCCTCCCCTCTTCTCTCTCTCTCTCTCTCTCTTTTATGAATACTCACCCAAATATATTTTTTTTATTGATTTTAGAAAGAGAGGAAAGGGGGAGGGGAGAGAGAGAGATATCAAAACATCAATATGAGAGAGGAACATCGGTTGGTTGCCTCCCATACGTGCTCCAACCAGGGATTGAACCCACAATGTAGGTATGTGCCCTGACCAGGGATAGAACCTGCAACCTTTTGGTGCATGCGACAAGGCTCCAACCAACTGAGTCACCCATCCAGAGGTCCCCCCTTCTTTACTTTATGATTTTAGACAAGTTATTTAAGGCTGTAGGCCTTAGTTTCCTCACCTGTAAAATGGGGATTATAATAAATAAGTAAATAAATTAATAAATAAAAATGGGGATTATACAATACCTCATGGGTGGTTGTGAGGATTAAAAGAGTTAACGCTTGGTATATTTTTGGAATTATGCCTGGCATGCAGTAAGTGCTATTTATGTTGCACATTTTAATAAAACTAAAAATCACTTTCCTAGCCGGAATAAACAGTGAAGATGAAGTGGTTATAATCACAATTCTTGGTTGGCCCCCAGGGAAGGGCGTTTTTGGGACTAGAAATCAGCCGGGCCAGTCTTACCTGTGTCTAATCCAGTTTTACCCCTTAGCAGCCTACCGGTGGGGTAAGACCACTCCCACCCTTCTTAGGCCCGGGTTGGAGGCAGCCTTTTCCCAAGGAAGCAGAGGTAACGTGGGTTAGTGGTAAGTCAGATGCCCAAGGGAGTTCGTGCCTAGACTTGGCTCTAACCTTTCACCCAGTCCCCAGGGCCTCTCCTGCCTGCTCTGTCCCACTGACCCAGCAGCCCCAACCAGTTGCCTCTGAACCCTTCCCTCCTCAGACTTTTTCCATGCTAGTTCCTCTTCCAGAAACATCCAGGCAGATTGCCTTCTCAACTCTCCCAGCCTCCCTACCTTTGCCCAGAACATCTAGTCGGCCTTCTCCCCAATCACAGCTCCCCACGCACCTCGCTTCCCACCTCAACACACGCACACATACACAGACACGCTCCTAGGCAATAACGTTTGACCCTGGAGTTCTACATGCCTCGGCTCTAAAAGGAAATCCTCCACATACGCAATATATATGCAATTCTAGACAACTGGGCCTCAGTTTCCTTATTAGTGCAATGGGGATAATACCAGCCTTAGAAGGCTTCCTAAGGCTTCTGTGGGATAATAGGTGGGAAATGCTTAGTGCAGTGCCTGGCATGTAGCAAGAGCTCAGGTATTGGTAACTCTGGCTATCTTTTTTTTTTTTTTCATGGTTTTTGGTGAGCCTGTTTGCCTCCCCCAGCAGCTGAGCGTGCCTGGAGACCGTCCCTCACTCCAGTGTTCCCTGGAGCGGCTGACCAGTGTCTGGCACAGAGGAGGTGCCCAGTACACATCCAAGCACGTGAGTGAAGTTCCGTCCTCTGGTTCTCAGAGTGCGCCCAGCAAGTGGGTGACTCTCTGCAGGTGGAAGAGCAGCAGCACCTAAAGGGCTGCGGGAGGTGCTCCCGAGGAGCCCCTGCCAGGCCAGACTGCCATCCTGGGTGGGACCAGCAGCTGTCTTGTCTTCAGCCTGGGCTCTCAGGCTGCTGAGCTAATTAAGAATGACAAAGCACCGTGTAATTGCCAGCAATTGATGAGTCCCCTGCCTCTTCCTGCCTCTCTTTCCCTTACCCTCCTTGGCACTATCTGTCATGGAGGTCATTACACAGACACAGAGGCAGGCAGAGTGGCAAAACTGAGCACAGGCTGGCTTCAGGAGACCCGGAGGCCAGCTGCCTCTGCTACCCCCTCACAGTGGGACCCTGAGCAAAGGAAGCTCCCTTCTTACATTGGCTCCATTTTCCTGTTTCAGGGCTCTTGACCTTGTATTAAGAGAAGGGCAAGGCTAAGGGGCCCAGTCAAGGGGGCTCTGCAGGGGGACTGAGCTGCATCTGTCAGATGGTTTGGGTGCAGCAAGGCGGACAGCTGCAGGCTTGAATCCCAGTCCTGCCACCACCAGCTGTGTCATCTTGGGCAGGCCACTTACCTACTCTGAGCAACAGGGTCTTCATTTCCAAGATGGGATTTGTTTGAGAGCACTTAGCTCTTACTAGAAAAGCCTGCATTGGTCCCAAATCTCTGCCTGTCACAGAGATCCCTGGACAAGCCCATTTCTATCAAAATGAATGCAGAAATTAAGAGTTGAGAACTTATAGAGCAATTTGATAGAATAATTTTATGTTTTGAACCTCATTAAA